CTCTCTCACACACACAATATATATATATAACATTTTTATTATTTTTCCTGCTTTTAAAAATTGTATTGCCCATGATCTAGTCTACAGCCTGGTTTGGTACAGGCCCGTTTGGGCTTGTGCCAGGCTTACTTTCAAGGGGTTCCAGCCTTCCAAGCCAAGCAAGGCATAGTACGAGATCTCAAGCAGCCCGCAAAAGTAGGCCCTACCACCTCTAGGAATACCTCTCTAAGTGGTCATTTTTAAATTGCTAAAACCTCTCTTAAAGTTTGGTAATTACCTCTCCTAAACTGTATTACACAATTGCAATTGAACTCCCATTATTAGAATCCTCTAAAAAGAGGTATCAAAATGTCCAAAATACACATGCAGTTACTATCGAGGTTGGTTTATACAGAAAAAAATACAAATTTTATGAAAGCAAAAAAAAAAAGAGAGAATTTAAAGTTGCAGTTTTACCTTTGAGCACTTGATATGAAGGGCAAGTTTGAAAAATAAAAATCAATTTCAGAAAAGAGATTGGAAGGGTTTGAAATAATGATTCATGTGTAGAGAACTTGGAAAATAAACATTTTGGCTAAAGTAACTATAGGGGCATTTTGGATATTTTATATTTTTTTAAAGGATTCTAACAAAGGGTCTACTTGCAACTATATCTAAAAGCTTAGGGGAGGTAATTGCAATTAGTAAAAGAGGTTTCAGCAACAACCACAAACTTCATGGGAGGTTTCCATAATCTACCCTTTTTAATTTTTAATTTTTTACTTTGCATTCAACTTTTAATGGGAGTTCAGATTTACAAGTTCACATCTCCGCCCCACAATGCCCCACAGCACATCCCCACCATGTATTGTGAACATCTCCTGATGATAGTACCAGTCCCGATGATGGCATCATCGGGAGATGTTCCCAATACATGGCAGGGATGTGTTGTAGGGCGTTGTGGGGCGGCTCCTTATGAGACGGGGATGTAATCTCCAGATTTACACCCCACACGTGCCCTGCAGCAAATCCCAACAGTGTGTATCAGGAACATCTCCCGTTGACAAATGACAAGTATGTATGAGAGATGTTCCCCATGGATGAGATGTGAACATGGGGTGCGATTTTTGGAAAGCAAATCTGAACTCTTTCAACAGTGGTACACTACTGGGGGTTTAGGGGATGAACCCCGGAACAGAGCAGCAATTTTTGTGCTCAAATAATCAATTCGCCATGGATTACATCTGTAGGCCATTTTTTAATGTTCTTTTTTAATTGTTTTCCACTTTCAACAGTTACTCTTTTTCTAGTATACATAATGGGGATTCTGGCTTAAATCTGCCATCCATGCCTACCAACAAGACATCGCAGTCACACATCGGGAACATCTTGCATAATTGCATGTTGCCATAGCACAAAGTCTATAAATTTACAGATTTGACCCGGTGCCTTCACTGTGGGAGAGATGTCTTGCAAGCTGCGACCAATTACAGAGTCATTTGACACTTCACGTTGGCTCCTCAGAAGGGCGCTCCACATCACATCCCAACCGTGTGCTTCACATTGGTTTTCCCAATGCATGGTTTGGGATGTGCAGTGGGGTGCGTTCGATGGGAGATAATCTGATTGAGCATGCCAAATACAAAGACTTCAGTGGTGGTTTTTTATATTTAAACATTAAAACCTCCTATGAGTAGGGCTACAAATGTATCGGATCAAATCAGATATAAGCAGATTCAAATTTATTTATTTATTTTTTATCAAATTCGAATTGAATTATATCCATTAAATATTTAATAGATTTGAATCAAATTTGGATTACAATCGGATACATGGTTTTTAAATCCGGATCGGACTGTACAGTTGGACCGAAAAAACTGAGAATCGATCAGGTAATCAGTTCTGTTTTTCCTAAAAACCGGATTTCCTCTCAAAATCGTTGATTTTGGTCAGTGAACCGCTGAACCGGGCGGTTAAACGTTTGAACGGTTTTGATCGTTTTTTATTTTTTGATTTTTGTTTTCCTGTCAAAATGGACCGAACATTCAGTTCGAATGATCAAACCGTTCGACCCAGTAACCAGACCCCTGACCGGTTTAATCATCAGGTCGATTTTAAAAACCATGACCAAATATTAAATAGTATAAATAAATTAGACTAAAAAATATCAAATATTATACACGATTAATAAAGTAGCTAAACTTGATTCACTCATTAAATGATAAGTACCAAGGTAAATGCATTTATTGTTTTATCAATAAAATTGTCATTATTGAAGAGACAATAGGGACAATATTGTCCCGTCATGTCATGTCAGAATTGTTATTAACACCGAATGTGGGCTATTTTGTTTCCATGGGACTCAGATAAGATATATGATCAAATTATAAGCAGATCAAATTCGAATTCAAATTCAGATAATGGGATACCGCTTTGCAGCCTAACTGAGAAGCATGCTCAGATAGACAGATAGGAAAGGAAAAAATAAGAATTCTAGCCCTAAAAATATGCGCTCATAAATGTCAATATATTAAACCATGCCTCAGATATCATATATTGAAACCCTACCTCTGCCAGAAAAAAGGAAAAGAAACTGAACCTCTACTATTCCTTTTCCTCCTCTGATTTGAATGACCCAACAATCTTCCATGGGAGAATCTACTTAAGAATCCCAATGGTCCTACGTGTTCATGTTCTTTTCTCCTCTCACTGGGTGAAGTTTTGAGCCCACAAAAAAAACCAGAGGAATTGAATATACCTACCTCACCCTACCAGATTAGGCATAGGTCCCACCTAGTCCATACACCATGGAGCGAGGTCTTAAGGGTTGCATAAACAGGTTCTTTGATACAGTTATCAATTGCAGTTCATCCGGATTATGATGTGATGTATGTTTTTAGGCTTCTTTTGGAATCAATGTAAAATGTCATCGGATAATGTTTTACACTGAATCATGAAAGTGACTGTTGTTTTTTGAATATAACAACGGGTAGAAGTGTGTAAAGTTTTATATCAATAAAATCAATATAATTTTTACATTAATTATCGATGTAAAATTTTAGAGGTGATGAGGTTTTATATCGATTGTCAACATAAAATTCCACTCCATTTATATAAAACTGAATCGAAGTAAAGTTTTACGTTGATAATAATTACACCCTTTTTTCAAACACTCATAAAACCAAACCAATATAAATTTTACATTGGTTCTTGATTTACATCGCATGTAAATGCAGCCTTAATGATTACTTTACGCTATATTTGTTTGCGATGTAAATAATACCGGGCTGGTTTTATAGCCATTTAGTTGAAGTATAAAAAGCTATAAAAAATGTAGATCGAGTTTTTATTGATAATCGAAAGGGAAATGCACAATGATTAAAACAAGACAAAACTCTCCCTTCCTTGCCATCGATGCTCCCAAACTGATTACGGTTAAGTTTTAGAATCAAACAAATTAGAATTTGAGTTTATACAACTCTTGTCTGCATCACCGTAGAGAGGGGCCCTACCCAGTCAATGGTGCATTAATAATAATAAATATTAATGGAGTTTATTGTACGAACTATGAATGTTAATAATAATAAATATTATTAATTCTGGAACAAAACAACAACATCCTAACGTCACTAAATGGTCCATCACATGAGAATTGAGAAACCGACGTTATTCATTCATTTTCTACTCTTTCCATCCAACAACTCTACATTTACAAAGTTCAAAGCAACTGAAATAAGCGCTGGTAGAGTCAAATCTCCAGCTATGACTTAGAACCAGTAATTCCAATTTCTTTGCTTGTAGCAGTAAGAATGATGAGGTAGTTGATTCACCGATTTCACTTTCGCAAAAGTACACCTGTTTTTTGAAAAAAATGTGATGGGTAAAGAGTGTAAAGTTTTACATCGATCGATAATCAATATAAAATTTTAGGTAAAACTTCAATCCAATAGAATTTTATATTAATTATAATTTCAAACGGATGTAAACATTCCCAACGCACCCTGAGTCTTAGGATTTCTGAAATGGCAATTATGCATGTGTCCGTACCGACTTACCAAAAATTTTCCAACTGATCTAAGTCTAATACCGAATGCCAGATTGACGAGGGTCGAACAACAGAATTCTGAAACGTGGCAGCAGTCAAAGGACATCTTATGGAGCTGAACTCACAGTGGAGGGAAACACATGTAATTGAGGAGTGATCCATGTATAACACACAAAGACCTTGGCAATGTGAATGTGATTATCCAACTTGGCAAGGAGTGGGGTTTGGGCTCTCCCCACTACACCCAACACATGGAAAACACCAGGGCAACATTGTTTCTGTCAAACAGGTTAAGGTTGTTTGAAGAAATTGGATGATGTTTGGGGAACCGTTTCCAGTTTCCCCTCATCATCTATTCATCCTCCACCCACTCACCAATAAACAAACACCTCCAACAAAAAAACGAAACGGCAACATTGGCAAACGCACTCCACAAAATTGATCAAAGGAACTAAGGAAGTCCTAGCCTTCAGGCTTCAGTAATAAAGTACAGAACTAAAGCCTGGAAATGATGGTAAAAACTGTCCGACCATTTCGCCAGCGCCCAGCGGACCATGTGGCACAGGCCATGCTCCCTCCGCAACCAATCACCCTCCACGGTACTTGGTATCCCGTATCCCCAGTCCACCAAAAGCCCAAAAGGACAATAAGTAAAGAAGCAGAAAAGTTACCCAGAGAAGCAATAAAAATGACTTTCTATTAAATTGCTTAATTTCCTTTTAGTTTAATCTCGATCGATCATAGAAGAAACTGAAGGTTCTTCTTCTTTGGGTTTGGGCGTTTGGGCAATTCATCGAAACCGACAAGTGTCGTCGTTATCCATGTCGACAATGACTCTCTGCAGTCGGGAAGCCTGTTGTGTTGTGGTTGCACCAATGCATCGAACCCAGGTTACGAGGTCCACCACCACCATATACCAAAGACAACGGTACAAAAAAAAAAAAAAAAAGAAAAGCAAAAACTGCACTCCTCAAAGTAAAAAAGCCAAGATATGGCACTTGTCTTCCTTCAACTTCAATCCTTTCTAGCTTTTCTCTTTTCTTATTAGCAGCAGCAAAGGGTGAACAGTGAAAGAGTAAAAGCCTTTTCCCAGTCCATCCCACATGCATCCTCGCAATCCCAAAACGAAAAGCTCGGTTTCTACTTTCTACTTTCTACCATCACAATGCTGAATGCTCTTCCTTCCAACTACATCCAAACAAGTAAATAAATAAAAACAGAAAAGAAGAAAATCTGCGACAAACAGAGAGAGGGAGGAGGGATGGATAGAAGAAACAAAGGGAGGTTAGGCGTGGCTTGGTTTCACGAGCTCTGGGTCACGCGCAACCTTGGCTCTTGGCTTCTTCTCTTTTTCTGCTTCTCTCCATCTCTCTCATTACAATATTGATACAGGAGGAAGATTGGCTGAAATAAATAAATCAAACAAAAACGAGAAAGAAAGTATGCACAAGGAACAAAAATCCAAGTTGGCTCATCTGCTCGTCTCGTGCTTGGAGCACTACTAGTAATCACCATGAAGGAGACGTGCAAGGAGACCCCGAGGACGATGACGATGGACCATTGTTAGTGTCTGAACCGCTCCCTGAAGTTCCGAGAGACCGCACGTCCCTCAGTGAGACAGAACATGCCTCCGCCGGAAGCTTCTTCATCGGAGTCAGTGGAGGGGTCATTGGCAGTGGCGAGGGACTAGATGGGGACGGTTCGGCCTTGTCGTCCTCGCCAGACGAGCCATCGGCTTCTAGACGGGAAGGTGATGTATCGGGCGTTTCGAACGGGGTGCCGACTCCGTCGGGCCTGCAAGCATCGTTGTCGTAAATGGGATTCGAGATGTAAACAAAATTCTCACCGCCACTACCGCCGCAGAAGCCTCCACCTTCACCAACACCAACACCACCACTGCTGCCTTCGAGCTCCACTTCCGCTATTGGCCGAGGTGAACCGATTGATGTAAATGAGATAGAAGGAGATGGCGCGGAGAGAAGGCTGACGCAATGCTGGTTGCTGTCTGTTTCTTGGGCTCGTGTGTCGGAGACTTGCTTTGACGTCGCTGGGAACTGCTTGTTTACTGCTACTTCTACGTTGTCATCTTCTTTTCCGGAAATGGCAGGGAAGAGAAAGCTTCTGGGAGCACGAAGAACGCCATGAGTGTAGAAACTATTGAGGGGAGGGGCTGATGGGTCTTGTCGTTCGAGGCACAGAGAAGGAGAGGAGGCAATATCGGCGGTAGCATCCATGGCCATTCGGAGACGACGCTTGCGTAGCAGAAGAGAGCAGTAGAGCTCCGCCAGCAAAAGCAGGACCAAGGCTAACACTATGGCCAGGCTCACCACCATTACCAGTGTCGCCCCCATAACCAACTTGGATGTGGCCTCCTTCATCTCTCTCGATCTTGCTCTCTCTCTCTCTCTCTCTGGTCAGTGTGCGTGCGTGTATGGAGTGTGGACTGTGGCGGGGACAGTAAAACTAGTGGAGACTGGAGAGACAGACAGTAAAAAAAGGGCGAGCGGGAGGTTTTTTGGCGGGAAGGAGTCAAAGGAAAGGAGATGAGATGAAGAAGAGAATCTTTGCTGTGGCCTGTGGGAGGGTTATCGATGAAAAGGGGTTTTTGTTCTGACGTTTGGGAAGATCTCTGACCTTCTGGGTTATTGTTGTAAATTCGTCATTTTCATTAATTAATTAATTAATATATTTAATGAAAATCTGGAACCCAAACAAGTAATCAGCTTTGCTTTGAAGCAGACAAAGGCATTTAATCAGTCTCTCTCGGATTCTTTCTTAATTCTCTATGTTTATAGTATTCCAATTTCCAAATGACAAATTAACAATTCGACAAAAAGGAAGTGATTTGGTGAAAATCGTAAACGTATTTTGTCTTCTTCTCTTCTCAGAAAGAACTTAGGAAAGAATACATGTGTTTGGTCGCGCTAACCCAGTACCCGTCGTATGTGTCATTCTCTGAGCACTTCTCCATGTAGGATATGTAATGTGAGCACCAATAAAAAATCGTAGAATGTCCTGTGCGGGGGCGACTGTTGAAACCAGTGTTTTGATTCAACCCACCGTCACCCACACGGTTGGCCGTTCCAACCATCAGCCGGTTACAATTTCAATGCTGTTTGCTACATGGCTTCCGTTTATTTGGTAAGACTCTTTGTCAAATAAACGTTTCTTTAGGGATGCTTCACTTTAATATTTTTTCTAATACTAAGGTGTTTATTTATGGTTTTGTTAATGTGGTATTTAATTGTTAAGCAGCAGTAAAAAAGACGTTTATCAACCATTTTTCTCTTGATTTTAAAGATAAATCATGTACAAACTTTTTTTTTTTTTGGTATAACAAGGAGAAGCTACACAAGCCTGGAGTAGCTTGGCCCCAGAGATCACACCAACAAATGAAATCTAGATGTCTAGGAAAGGAGGAGGGGCTTAGGAAGAGAGGGGAGTTTGCTTCGAGAGCCTTGCACACCAACCAATCAGCATCCTTGTTTGCAGGGGCAGAGCCAGGGGAACCCAAGGGAGTCATTAAGGGGTGTTCACGGGTCAGGTTGGGTCGGTTTGAGTCATTTTCTTTAACTAACCTAGTTTACTTATTGACAAAACCAAAACCGAACGACCTTGAAGCAAAGCCGATCCAAATATGAAGGGTCGGTTTATCGGTTTAATTGGTTTTTATATATATTTTAAACTAAAATATCTATTTATATTTAAGTTTATTTCATTTTAGTTTTTATGCAAAATCAAAATATATATTTAAATCGATTAGTTTTTTTATTCAAAACTGATTTTTCTATCAATATATATTTAAATTTATACAAAACTGAATTAAATATTGTTACCATTGTATTATATTTGTATTGGTTTTACATTTTTATTTTTTTTCATAAATAACCAATTTTTTTCAAAGTTCAAACAAAACACAAATAAAATATATCAACATTTAACATATAAGGTAGGGACTAATTAATAATTACTTAAACATATAGGATCGGTTCAGTTCGATTCGGTTTAGTTTTCATACATGAAAACCAAAACCGAATCGAATTGTCGGTTTATTTTCTCATACAAACCGAAACTGACTAGTGATTTTGAAAAACCGACTAACTCGAATTGGGTCGGGCCAGTTTGATTGGTTTGACATTTAATGTGAACATCCCTAAGAACCATAACCCCCCTATGGTCCTAAAATCTCCATTTGTAATACAGCCTTTCTTAAACAATTTTTCCCTCCCCTACTCTCCACCCAATGGTTGCCCCCCCTACTTGTTTGCTTATCCATCTTCTCCCCAAATTTCTTGCAATCGTCCATGATGATTTTAATTTTCCATGGAGTCTTGATCTTCTTTTGGAGGCATTAAACGACAATAAGATAATCTCTCTGGATGCAAATGGAATGATCTCTGAAGTATAAATGTTTATCAAATAAATGAAAGCCATACTACATATTACCTTAAGGTGTGACTTTCATAAAATTAATAAATTTTTCAAAAACCGTTCAATTGATCAAAATTCATCTAATTAGGGCATTTGAACTGTTGACCCATTCATGGGTTAGCCAGTAATTGAAACTTTTAGAGGTTGTACTATGCATTCATAACAAGTAAAAGACGGTAAATGAAAAAGGGAACCTTCCTCTCTCTGTCTTGTATTGATTGATAATTTATACATGAATTTGGATTACAACAGAAATTTGAAAATACAGATTTAGTTAAACAAGAGATAGAGTTTAAATAAAGCAAAACTCCTACAGGTGGTTATCTCCACTGTAGTCGACGCATGCAAACTGTAAATAGTTATCTCTTTGCCATACAATTCGGTTATTCATTTTTTTTGGGTAAAATACAAAAATTTCCTCAAATTTTTTTTTTGAAAATCATAGAAATCTCTCCTATAGTTTTACTTTAACAAAAACGTTTCTGCTGCTTTTAAGAAATTTGACAAAAATCTCCCTTCCGTCAATGATCACGACGGAAAACGTTAAAATCATGATCGAATCTTTTCAAATACCTTTAAAGATTTTCATGGTTCTACTGAGATTGACCTATTTTACCCTTTTAAATACCTGTTTTACCCTTCCTGCAGCAAAAGGCACCTCTCCCGACAAAACCGAAACCTTGGATGGTTCACGCCGATCCCCCGTTTGAGCCCGTCGCCGGTCACCATTTCTTGTAACGGCATGGTTCACGCTGTTAGCATCCAGGAATGATCCCCTGTTCGAGCCCGTAGCAGCTAGCTACGCTTGCCGCTTCACTGAGACGCGGCTGAACTTCCTCTGCGGCGGAGAACAATGGATCCTTCTTCCACTGGTCGAAACTCGAAGCCATGTTCTATTAGTCGAATTCTGACCGTTTTTCAGTCAAATCGACCTCATAAACCGAGGTTCCGTCCGGATTCAGCAATCCCCAGTGCCGTTCAGTTCCCGGTCCACCCTTCTGGTTCTTGATGTACAACGCGGAAATGAATGTCGGTATTACTGGACGGGCCGGAGTTCCGATTGCTAGTTTGGACGTCATTCACCGGATTAGATTTCAGTTATATGTAGCTGCGTTGAAGATGTTCGCTCTGATCTGGTCAACGTCTCCGGCATTGGGCCACCCTGTTTCGGCGATTACCAGCCGAACATTCGGAAACCCAAGCTTGGTCATGGCGAAGATAACCGAGTCGAGCATTTAGTCAAGGAGGTTGGTGTAGGTTAAGCCCCTTCGCGGGTCGGTGTAGGTTTGGTTCCCTTTGAAAATCGCATAGTCGAGATTAATGTTCGTGGGATCGCCGAACCAGGGGAAGTCAGGGTAGGCGTTGAGGAAGAAATAGGATTTGGTTCGGTTCAAGAACTGTAACAGAGGCATCATCACCAGTATGGAGATATCGGACCGAAACATTCCGTTTGACGGTGGGAAGGACGATTGAAGGACACCCATGGCAGTTGTAGTCCCAACTTTGTTTCTGATGTGTGGATTTTGAGGGAATACTTGAGTTGGCGCATTGCTTGGATGAGATCATACCATGTTTGCCAATCTTGGTCGGAGGAGAAGCTGAAGATTTTATTGCCGACAAGGAGGTAATGAATCAAGGTTTTGGGGTAGAAAGGAACGACATTAGTTCGAACCCATTCGTTTGCGAGGGACTGGCTTGAAGAAATGTTGGAGATTAATTGATTGGGAACCATGATTGATACTTGGATGTTGGTCCCTTCGAGGGCCTTCAGAATATCTGGGTTTGCATGTTTGACGCGACCTGCTTTCAGGGATTTGATGAGCTCAATGGATCGAGACGGTGAAGGGAGGTTGTTGCCTAGCTGACCATAGTTGATGCCCATCTTCCTCGAAATCTCTGCATCTGTTAAAAGAAAAACGAAGAGGGGTTAGAGAGGAAGCATAAAGAAACAAAACCTGTGTTCTAGTTTCATCAGACACTTACTAGTGTCTATCGACCAAAGTTTGTAGTTCATTGGAATTCCTTCTGACGGGAGTGAGAACCATACATCGATGAAGACTTGTGACTGAGGCTGAGGTTGAGCCTGCGGGTGCAACAGATTTACCTCTGTGGAAGAAGGGCAACACCCAGCAAAGCAGTTGAAGATGATGAATAGTGATTAAGTCGTAAAAAGGGTAAATGAGGTATTTTGAAAAAAACTATCATTTGTTTAACGTTTTCCGTCAAGATTATTGACGGAAGGGAGGTTTCTGTCAATTTTTTTAAAAATAATGGGGAGGTTTTTATGATTGTCAGAAATTTCAGGGGAAGTTTTTGTATTTTACCTTTTTTTTGCTTCAGAATTCGGTTATCCATTTGAGATAATCTTTTATATCAATTTGAGTATAAGTATTTTGAGATCTATGAATTCTAACCCTGATGTTTTTTTTGCTTTATAAAAACAACTTTTTTTTGGCCTTCAAATCCAATTTTTAACATTTTTATAAATAAAAAATATTAAAATTGTAATAAAATTATAAATTAAACATAAAATAATACATATATTATATAAAAAATGTAATTTTATATACAATACGTACGTATATATATATAAATGATTTGACCTCCGGGTTTGATTTTTAAAACACTAGTTTAAAAGTTTTTTTTTTTTTGCTAACTCACTAGTTTAAAAGTTAAAATGGTGTTTTCGAATACAAAAGGCATCATCGACTTTTCATGTCCTTGTGTCTCAATTAGTATAGCTCTGGTATCATGTGTAAATGTTGGGCATCGTTCCCGGTTCTTCGCTGAAAAGAATCATACCCTATAACTAATGATAACCAATCAACCATTAATCAATTGGTGTTAAGTAACATAGTTTTTCTGTGTTATAGGAAATTAGGAATTACCAAAACTATGTTTTATGTAACCATAGAAAAAGGATTGACCTGTTCATCAACAAAAGAAAATGTGACATAAGGCCATAAGCAGCTGGCCTTTTCTTTTGGTAAATAATAAGAGTTGGCCTTAACCTAACTAATAAAAGTCTGCAAAATTAAGCCCTTGCCCCTTTGGTTAAACCAAAAGGGAATCAACAACCAAGTAATTATAAGTAGGGCTGTCAATGGATCAATGATTGATCCAACCCTATCCGGTCCATGATGAATCCATTACAGATGGGCCAGGTCTAATCCAATCCGATTAATACTTTGGACCATTCTGGACTGATCCAATTCAATGTCTGGACATCCAATATGTTCAAATTGGTTTTAATTTAGATTGGGTCCGACACAAACCTGGTCCATGGGCACCCTCTTATCTTTTGTTAATGGACAGGATATTGGTTCAATCCGACCCAGTCCAATATAAATCAATTACAGATGATGGACCAGGTCCAACTCAGTCCACTAAATACTTTGGACGGTTCAAATTGATTTTGATTTGGATGGGGTTCAACCCAAACCCGTCGATTGACATCCCTACTTATAAGTGGAATATACACTTTGATCATATGGTTAATCTCAATCTCACTTTTCCATCTATGAACATTGGAGAATCATTTACAGTTTGCTCAGTAGCCTAAAACAGTGGAAGCAACAGCGTTATGGAAGATTGGAAATGAAAGAAACGTATGTTTACTATAGGATATTATTACAAAGATCAACCCAGAAGGTTAAAAAATTTGGTACAAGAACTCTGGACATAGTCGTATAGACTACAGAAAATACAAGGAGGTTTCATTTGCTATATTCTGCTTCACCTCCCCCTAAGGGTAGCAAATCGGGCTGCCAAATCATCATAGTCTGGTAGTTTAGGATGGACATGCCCAGCTTTAGCAGACTCAAAGGAAGCCGCACGAGCAGGTACTCTTTCGATTTCAGTCAGGGATGGTGGCTCTGGAGGAAGCGACACTGCTCTAGCTGGAGGATGATTCAACTCCAAGTTCAAGCAAGCCCCGTTTCCGCTTCTATGATGTGGGGGTTCACCAACATTGGCATCAAGTTGATGTGCAGGACATTTTGGCTCTCTTAGTCTGCCCAGTTCGTACTCTTCATAGGTTGGCTGTTGTTTCTTACTGTAGTGTATCAACAGCCTATCCATCTTTTCCTCTTCATCTATCTGACCTTGATCATAACCAAATAAGGTTTGGTGCCTCAATCTTGCATCATCTCCTTTTCCACCACTTGGAATTCTACCTGTAACTTCACGGACTTCGAAATTGCCATCATTTTCTTGGACTGGTGGAGTTTTAGTGCGTCTCCTCCTGACTGACCGCGGTTTTGGCTTTGTCTCATCTCCATGGCCATTCATCCTTTCAGACTCAGCCTCAGCTTTGGTTGGTGCATTTTCTAGTTTATTGCTGCTTAAGTCTTTATTGCGGGATTGAAAATCCAGAGGGCAGCCATTAGAGTCAGAACTAGCAATATGAACATCTGTCTTGATTCCATACTTACCATCTTTTGGTTTGACATAAGGAGGGGGGATTATATTATTGGAAAAAGGTCTCATGTTTTCTGCTTCTTCCTTGAAGGCTTTTCCTACTGACTTTGAATGGTTTTGTAGATCATTGTGGCTATTACTTGCAGTAGTATGATCTTTTTTAACCACCTTCAACTCCTCTTCCCCTATCCATTGACCAAAAGCATTGTCCCGCCTTCCTCGAGATGGACCATCTTGGTCATCTTCTTTGGACAGACCATCTTCTCTAGCATTGTGTGATTTGTATCCATTTGGCAGTTTATATCCATCGCCACAAAGTTCCTGTCTTCCATGAGAAAGATATTCTGGCTTGTCACTTTTCAGGACAGTTTCCTCCCTTTTGTTGTGTGATTTATACTCATCATAGGTGACTTCCTTTCTTCCTCTAGATGAAACATCTTGAGTATCTCTTTTTTGGACAGAATCCTCCCTATCATTGCACAATCTGTGCCCATCTTGTTTGCCATTGCAGAAAGATCCATGTTTCTTCAGTTGATCCTGTAAAGGTTTCACAAATGTCATAATAGATATTAGTTATGCTAAGGGATCATGAACAAACAAGGATGTCGTAAGCTAGTACGATTTCTTCTATTTGTGGTTTGCATTCAGTTCCCTTCTAAAATCTAATACAAAACTTATGGCAAAATGGTAAGATGGATGTAAGAACACTTGTTCAATATACATGAAATAAGCATTCAAAGTCTATTGTTTTTGTTAGAGAATAAAAACCTATCCAAGGACCTCACCTAACAGCTTAAGCTTTTATGTTGAATGGTTCCTTGTGATGGTATAAGAGCCTGTGTCGACCAAGTGGTTTAGTGTTCAATCCTTGTTGCCCCCGTTATAATTAATTAAATTTCAGCACAAGGCATGGGTGGGCCTGTGCTTGTCCACACTTCAAGCCCAAGAGACTTTTGCATGAGGGAGCATGTTAGGGAATAAAAACCTATTCAGGTAACTCATAACAGCTTAAGCTTTTAGGTTGAACGGAACGGTTCTTGTTTTTTTTTTCAATAACAGAACGGTTCCTTGAGACTTTTGTTTTATGTTTCCTTCTCCATCGAGTATAAGTCATGTATTCACCCCCCCCCACACACACACACACACGGCGGTCCCTCACATTGGAAGAAAAGGAAAAGAAAGGAAGGAAAAAAGAGGAAGAAAATTAGAATGGCTTACTTGTGTAGAGGAAGGCACATTGGACATTTTCTGCCCAAAAGTTCTGGAGTCCCAATTTATAGAAAACTCTTTTGCAATATCTTGCATTAACTGGAGCTTCTTATCCTTTGTAGGAGTCTTTGATGCCAATTTGTCAACAAACTACCCACAATCAACAAAGCTAGTTAGTTTTATAAACAGCTGAAACAAGAATATTCTTTTCAGAGAGGATGCATGCATTATTACCTCTTGATTTATGAAAGCCTCCAAGGAATTCCCATATTTCTCTGTAAATATTTCCCTGAGGTCACGTAGCTCTGGTAAATCAGCAAATCTGGCAGCAGCAAACATTAGAGATGGTACAGCTTCCCTGCACTCCTCGGGGCAAGCACTGTGAAAGAAATGTACAAGAATATATATCAATACCATTTAAGCCAAAAAGAATAAAAGAACCAAAATGTGGAAATCTATACTTAAGCAATTAAGAGAATAAGAACTTGTATAAATTTGGGTCTCATGCAGAGAAGTATACAAAAACCATAACAGACAAACTATGAAAAACTGAATAATGTCTATTGGTATCTCTTAAAACCCTCAAACATAGTAACCCCAGAAGCATATGCTGATATTTTCCCAATCCTGTCCATCTTTCCATTCGTTCACCTTATATGACTACACAATTTGATAGAGGTACATCATTTCATTCTTCAAAATTCTGTACTACTTTTATCTTGATGATGAAAACTTATATTCTATTCTTTGCCAAGAAAGTAATAAATATAAAATAATTAAAATTTGTTAGTTTTTTTGGAGTTTCAACAACTTATTTCACCTGCAATTTTGGAAATAATATTAAAACAAAAATGTTCAATAACATAAATATAAATATACTACAAATATTAATAAAATAATTAAATATTGTCATTTTTTTGTTCAAAATTCTACAATTCAAAAAGGAAATTCCTCACCGACCAAGAGTCTGAAATGAATAGACTTTCTGAAATTTAAAACTTTGACCACTCTGCAAAACTAATATCTTTTAAGTCTAAGCAACAAACCCATACAATGCAGATATTTACTGAATGTACAGATGTAAGTTTGTCTGTATTGCATCTTAAATGAAAGACTGACAATAAGCTGAGGATATAAAATTATTCTATATCTTGACGTTTAATTTGAAGTTTAAAAATACTGGCATAATATATAGATTCTAACAACATGGCTTATAAAAGATGAGACAAGTGGTTCATACATTAATGCTGGAGTCAAAATACAACATATAACTTGCAACGCCAAAGTGCTGTAGACAAAGCATACCTCTGCTTTTGCATGGTTGGAAGCTGCTTCAAAACACACGCACAAAATTGTTCTATGAAATCATAACAGGAGGAAAGGCACAACTCAACTAGAAGTCCTTCAGCCTGTTCCATAATCAAGCCAAACCACAAGACCTTTCAGGAACATATTAATATATGGAGAAAATATATTTCATGGAAGAGAGATTAGGTTGGAGAATCTGAGCAAACAAAACTAAAAAACAGATGCAGTATAATGAAGTGAATATCTGTTTATTGATTATCTTATTAATGTGGTTAGTAATGGCATTACTGGTGGTTGTTTAAAGCATATCACCCTGAAATTGTAGAATGCACACCCAAAATAGTGTATTAACTGTTCAACCTCCTTGACATTTGGAATTATCTTATTCTCTACCTCTAAAGGCCATACGTACTTTCTCTAGACAGTGCTAGCCATATTGGTCTACAGTTATATGTTTATTGAATTAACTGTATGACCATAAACACATATAATTAAAAGTGCTGTTTTTTCCTATGTTCTCTTTAAAGAATCTCACCTTTTCATTGACATCAAGACATACATTCATAGACATGGATATACAAGTTGCCATCAGAGTTAAAGTTCAGTTCAGTGGTACCAATGTTCATTTATGAAATGAATTGGCGCAGTTACTTCTGTAAGTTACATATTAAAGAATCACGGAAGTTCCTAAAATATACCGTTTACATAAACAAGAATAAGTAGCACATAATTGATAATAGTAAACTAACATTAATTGCTCCATAGTATAAATTGACAGATTAAGAGGAAAATTTTCTCAGTACTTTCCAAACAAAGGAAACCATCCACAACATATCAGGTTGTGCTAGTAGTTTCCAACATCAAACACCCATATTTTTTGCAAAGTTCACAGCATTGAAGGGACCAAAATTATTTGATAGATCATTATTTTATCATAAAGAAGGCATGTTACACAAACAACATGTATTCATATACATAACAATCAACATATTAAGTGAACATGTGCATAGACCTTCCAGGACAAGTGCAAAATATTAAAATTTGAGCTGCTAGTTCAACATCTTCGTGGTCTAAACACAACATCTATAAAACAAACATAAGAGCATCATGAAAACTGAAACCACAGATAAAGACTGGCTTAGTGGGCTTATAAAACTCGGAGAAAAAAAAAAGAAAAAGCTGCAATAATACGAGAAATTAGATTGCAAAACGCAAAGAAGCCAACACTTGAACAGGTCTGGGATACACGAACTCTATAGCTTAAAGCATACAAAAAAAAAAAAAGATCCAGCTTATTAGAAAAGAATATAGACCCGAATCGAAAGCTCTTACAGCTTATTAAGTTGAACCACATGACACAAGGAACTCTGGAAATTCTTAAACAGAGAGAGATGGAACTTAGAAATATTTCTATGACAAGAATTATTGGCTAATAATCGCTATTGGAACTAAGAAAAAAACAGGGAGGAGGGAAACACAAGGCTCTAAATTCCTTTGCTTTTAGTAGATTCAATCTACAGGCTAATCACTCATTGGAACCAAGAAAAAAAAACAGGGGAGAGGGAAACGCAAAGTTCGATACCCTTATGCTTTGGTGGATTCAATTCGCCGGCTGCATTTACGCGAAGAAGATAAACTTTAAAAACGATAACTAACAATCAACGAAAAGCATATTTAGAGCAAAGGCCAAAGGTGATAAATTTCTTGCTTGTCATGAAAATTTTCCATTCCAGCTATTTTCTTCTTCTCTCTTGTTTCTTCTTGTTTAATGCACATATCTGCACCTCCACACATCAAGAAAAGACGAGAAACACTCGAAAGAAAGTACGAGAGAATGAACTTTACCCGGCCGTACGCATTGATATCGAGGCCATTGGAGAGAAGATCAGCAATATCTTTCTTCAAGAACTTCTGCATTGCGTTCCTCCTCCTCCTTATCAATTCGATTCGAGCTTGGATGGCCTTGATCGACGATTTACTACACCAAGAACACACACAAAATCAGAGAAAACAAAGACAAATAAATATAAACCAAAAAACACAAGAAAGATCCTTTCTTCGACGTTTCTTCACATTCAACAACGAAAAAGAAAGCAAGATTAAATACTGTTGATTTGTGTTAATGTCCTAACCATTTCCCCGAGAAACTTCGGCCTAAAAGTCCGTCCAGCATCTTCGCTCCAATATTCTTTCCTCGACACAGGTATACCGGTTTGAGAAAACGTTAACGAGAACTCGACTTAGGATCTCAGATGCAAGCTAGAATGCAAATCAGAGGTAATCTCCTGATTCGTCAATAAAGAAGCTCAAAACTCAGAAGGGAAGAAACAGAGAGAACTTTCAGAGAGAGAGGGGGAAACGAGGAATTCATCTGTCCATACAAAGTTACGAACACATAAGAAGAGCACTTGAAGGCTGAAACAAGCACGAGGTTCCTTTCGCCACGCTGGACTCACCGAGTCCGAGTCTCGCGACTCAAACGAGTTGTAGTCGCGTCAGACTCCTTTCAGACTCGGCAAGTCTCAATCGAGTGTATCCACCATCTTGGGTTATTTGAAGGATGGTCAGGGGTTTTTTAACTATATTTTAACTTGCGGAAAAGCTGGAAGGTTTGGATGAGAAGAAGATGGAAGGTTTGGATGAGAAGAAGATGGAAGATCCGAACCGAACACTCGGCGACCAGGCCGACCAAGTCGTCTTATGTGGTTTCATGTACATCCATCATTAGCTGGACTATGGTTGTCCATTACATTAAATTTTGCTCGAGCAGGAATATATACCATAATAAAGATAGTATATATCCATGATCCATGTGTACGTAGATGATTGGCTGTAAAATAGCTGGCCTAAGCTTCCATGAAAGACAGTCTTCCTCTTACGATGCTTCGCCCTGACCGGGTTCGTGTACTTGTAGACCTCACAAACCCGACCCATCAACCTGTTCGTGAGTAGAAGAATATTTGGACGCGCTTGATGATTGGGCAATGAATAAGCGCATTGGAATGGATTGTTCTAACTTTCGAAGCCAGCCAGTTGCTTGAATGGCAAGAAATGGGTTTCGGGTAACATGGTTCGGATTCTTGTCATTAAAAAGTGGTTTTTGATTTGGATTGGATGGGAAGTAATGTAGTCACGCTGCTTTGCTTGCTTTTGACTAAATAATGGTATCATGTTTCCCGATTTGTGATTTTGTCTTCTCCTCCTTGCTTCTTCATTCATGATTCATGGAAGATAGGCTTAAACATCGGATTCGGTTGGGTACGAAAATGTTATTCGTTAACCATATGAATGATGCTAAATTGCTAATAGAGTAGGAGTAGACAACAACCAGTGATTCGGTGCGGGTCACGACCAACGGACCAAGTCTCTCGACTCGCGAGTCGCGACCGGTACAAGTGGTACAACACAGGACACAGCCTCCCGATTCATGAAAAACTAACAAAAAGTAGTTTCTGTTGTTTTTCTGGTTTTCGGGTAATAATTTCTGTTGGTGGTCGTTACAACAAGGCCAACGCATTTTCATTTGTTCTGCTTCACAGCTTCAGGCCAAAATAATAAAGAAAAGCCAACCCACCGCAACAAAGTTCATGTGCTGTACAAGCATGCGACCCGTGATTGGTGGACATAGCCAGGTGTCGCACGAGCTTATGATGCCACGCGGCAAATCTAAAACTGTAACCAAGAACGAAGAATCATTCAAGGCATGCGGGGGCATCGGATCATTCCACTGGAAAAAATAATGGTGGATTGGTAGTGTGAACGCTTTGAAGAGTAGATGAGCATCAACAAGGCAGGGCGGGGCCCAGTAAAGGAGAGGACTTTTCCATCTGGATATTCTCGTCTCGCCTTGTAATTTTGTAAAGGTGACTTGGCCAGTTGGCCTTCGTTTCCAACATCAAAAGGAGACTGGGTCTCTTAAGTTGTGGTTGGGTTGGATCAGTCATGAGCAGGAACTACGTGGGCCCCCAAACATCACAATCACAAAAAGAAAGGATTCGCTCGCAGTGGACGGGTGATGGGTGATGGGTCCCGCCCAATATGGAGTTGGGATAAAAAAAAAAAAAAAAAAAAGAAAAGTAGCTTGCCTTTCACGATGGGTGAAAAGCAAATTGTGTTCTTATCTGATATCCCCACGCTGCTGCAACTTGACGGGGCCTTACTTGTTTCGACCCAAGCATGGATTGATGTGACTCGAAACCCAATAGCCTGGATTTTGATAGACGTTTATATCCGTTTGGTTTGTGGAAAGATTTGGGTGGGAATGGAATGAGAAAATATGAAAATTTTACTTTCTATTGTTTGGTTATGTAGGGAAAAATAATGGGAATATTCTTCTTCTCATGTTTGTTTTGTGAGAAAATAATTGAGTATATGTTTGGTATTGATGTTGCAGATATAATAAAGTTTTCTGAGAAAATGGTGTCTTTTTTTTTTTATTTTTTTGGGAAATGTTGCTGTCAGATAGGGCGTTTTATGGAGCAATAACACCTTCTGTTTGGTACCTGTGCTCCATATCTGTTTTCAATACTGGCACCCGTTATAGGAAGTCCACGTCACTGCCACATCATCTCCTCCTTGGTAGCAACGAGCTCCAATATTAGAAAACATCGAATTCGGCGTTGCTCCAAACCACACCTTCTCAATTCCAAGGTGTGGCTTGGAGCACCATTTTTTTATGGAAAATGGTTCCAAACATATTAACGTTTCCAGGAACACCGATTTTTCCAACATGGCGCTGATGTATCACCGTTTTCTAGAACAACGACATCAATGCCAAACACCGCCTATGAGAAAAATGCTTGGTTTACTTTTTTTTGTCAACCAAACCCAAAAATAAAATATTATATTATATTCAAAAGATTTGTCCATCAATGCCCAATGAAGGGAATTCCAATTGGGTTCCCTTCTTACATATTTTATGAGCTATCTCATTTTTCTGCAAATAGCTCTATTACTTCATTCCTATATATTTTATCACACCAGTTACAATCTAATTTACTATGTTTAAACACATAACTATATACATTGCATTAGAAAAAAATATTTAAATGCTAGATTTTGCTTTACAACATTAAAAAAAAAATTATTTGTCTGTCATTTAGATTCCAAAAGATTCAGGTCGTGAGATGTACAACCTACCACTGCTATCACTCTGCAATTTTGCTTGATTAGCACACAAGCTATAGCAGCGCTATTAAGATAAGGTATGCAAGAACCATATGTATATTTTCCATAACTACAGAGTTTAATAAAAGAACTCTATATTGTTGTATCCCATCAGTGGTAGAAACTAGTAGTAGTGAAGTTTCTTACAGCCATAACCAAGGTTCAAAATGCGTTATGTATCGGTTCATATTAGCTGATACATATCATATTGGGACCTTTTCGATATGCCCCTACAGGGGTGTATCGTGTCAGGCCATGGTTCAAAGGGTTATCGGGACTTAAACCGATTCCTCTGAATCAGTTTTGAAAAAAATAAATAAAACATAAAAAAAAAACACTGACATTGGCCGATACACCCTACTATAGCCATGGGATCATGATTTATGTTTCCATGCAATCTTTTGATTACAACATCTTTTTAATGAGTTTTAATTTGTTTCCATCTATGATGATTCCATGGAACATCTTAGGTCCCGTTCATTTTTCGGTAAGTTATTTACTCAGGTAAATGCAATTATTTGGGTAAGTTTTTCTTGGGAATGTATTACCCATGTTCTTTTATTTCCCAAATAAAAAAAAAAAAGAAAAGGACATTTTAACCATAAAAATCCATTATTAAATGGGGCATTTTTGTCCCATTTAAATGATGAAATCTTTTCCCCAGGTGGAAAAGTTATTTATCCACTTAGGAGATAGGTATCACTTACTCAATAAAATATTGAATCTAAATGGAATTTTCAGCTACCATATATATTTCCATTGTATCACTTGATGAAAATATCTGGGACAGGACTGTATAAAGAATTTATATGCAGATTTTATTGTGTAAATGTAAGAATTTGAATGTTTCCATGCAAATTATTAAATATTAATCCCATTAACCATTTGGTGGGGAAAATTTAAACAAGAGTTTATTAATCCCATTAACCATTTGGTGGGGATGAAAATTCAGTACATCTTCTTGGATTAAAAGAAAACGAAAAAAAAAAATTTCTTGTTTAATACTCAAAATAAACTATGACCACAAAGAAAAACAAACAAAAAACCACATTTATTAAATATTTAGTGAATGTGCATAGTTAGTTATGAATCAATGAGCAACGAAGAGTACTAAGCCTAGTTTTGAAACTAGGAATGGAGGTTTGGTGAAGGTGATAAACTAGACTAATTAAGTTGAAACAAAGCAAAACACCAAAAATGAAGCAGGGCAAAACAAATGCAGAGGAATCTTGTATAATACAGACCCACCATCTTAAGGAATCCAGTACAAAATCAGCCTATGCATCAATGGAAGCCCTTCCATAATATTTGGAATTCCTGTCCCATATTTGTGTATTCGAAAAAATAAAATCTTTAAAAAATATTTCTATTTTCTCATCCCTTTCTCACAAACCAAATACAGCCTAAGATACTGAATTGTGGATATCATATGATTGAAGGTCTCCCGGTCTGACCGAACCGAGTAGAGCCCGACTTACCTTTCTTTCTTTCTTTCTTTTTTTTTTGGTCCTGGTCAAAATCGGGTCCAACCTTGATGATTATTAGTGGGCTTTGGCATCAGCGAAAAGATAGAGCACTTTCTTTCGAGCCTTTGGAAAAAGAAAAAGTGATGCTCAAATTTCGAAATGCTACTGCCACCAAAAAGCTAGACGACTGAGCTGAGCAGAGGGAGAATCCGATGATATTTTTATTAAAACCAATATATAAAAAATTGTTACGTCAATTCATTAAAAAATAATAGAAGAGTGGTTTATAAAACAATGAAAAGTAGATTAAGATGGTTTTGTCCTATGCAGAAAATAAATTATTGCCAATATAAAAAGACGTGGATTGACTATAGATAATGTTGAACAGGATGAATTATTAAAACGGGATTAATTTATGTAATTAATTCATATAGTTGGTATCAAGCTTCAAAGTATCGATATGTATTGGTTTGTATTGGCTGATATATATTATGTTGATGACTTTTTGATATATCCTTTTAGGGACTGTATCGCGTCAGATACTGGTTCAGAGGGTAACCGGGCCTTAAACAAATTACTCCGAATCGATTTCAAAAAAAATAAATAAAACCTAAAAAAAAATACTAATATCTTCTAACGTATTGGCTTGTATCGATACTTTGAACTTTGATTGGCACAAGTGATGATGATGATGACAATAATTTATATACTTGCATCAATTATTGATTGGCACAACTCTGATTTTTCACACATGTCATTTCTGTTTAACCATTCATCTAGGTTTAGTTTGGATTTTACATAGTTAAGTTATTTTTCTTTTTGTATTTGATGCCATGCACCATCAATAATTTCACCGTTGATCCTTTTTTTCTCAAAGTGCTGATTGCAAGATTTTAAAATAAACCAACCCTCAATTGGTGTCAAGCTAAATTCAGGTTGGATTAGTTAGACAGTGGTTCGGAATATGGGTTCATAAATGTCAGCCAACTTTAAAATCAGGTGGGTGTTGAGACATTGGATCAAGGTTGAATAT